ACATGAATGAACATCAGAAAGTATGTTAAAAGAAATAGTACAACTTACCGAATTCCGTTTTTGTCTGATGTAATCGCTCAATCAGTGTTTCAACCGCGGAAACATGTCAGTATAGCTTCTTGTAAACAATACGTCACATTTATCTCAGAAAAAACATTCGGTGACACAAACTCGTTAGTCATCTAGAAAAATGAACTCTAGAGAGAAGCATTTTGCTAAATATATGCACCATAAAACATATTCATTATAATTTTTTTACTGTTCTTCAATATTTAATTTATGTTTGAATAAATCTGTCAAGTTTTTATGACAGACGCCATTTAAATGTTTATATTTCAAAAAACAGATTAGAGTAGGATTATAATGATGTAATTGTAAAGTTAGTATAACTGTAAAATAAAAACTTCATTGAGTGTGTTTGTATACAAATCAGTTACGTTTTAACCTTAAAGCTGCAGCCTGTAACTTTTTTTTTTTTTTTTTTGGTTAAAAATTATCAGAAATCAATATTTGAGCAAATACATAACCATCATTTTGTTGGCGGATTGCAATCCAGAAAGGATTATGCGTTTATGAAACACATGTGACTGAAATTAAATTATATTCCCGTTTTAAATGTGCATCTGATTACAGATAGCCTGGGATTACACAAATTTTGTATTTTAAAGAGAACCAGTTTGAAGGAAGAATAATTTGCTTTTTGGGTTAAAAATTCCTTAATATGAAATTCGAATGGTATGACAATTAGAGATTAGACTGTACAGAAATTGAAATCTACACACTATATACACAGTCACACAATGCTGGTGTTGTTAACATTAATAAATTGAGAACAAAGTATAACAATAATAATAATTTGCCCGGTTTGATGTGATATGAGCTAACCGATCGTTAGATTAAATCACCGTTGGTAGCGCGATTTATTGTAATGTTTTTTTCCTCAGTTGGTCAGAACAAAAGTGTCAGACTTGTTACTCATTCAGATGACAATATCTGGTTAAAATGTTTATTTGAGTCATATTTTCCAAGACGTAGGCTAGAATCTGTGATTCTGAAGTACAGTATCCACACATACTCATCAAAACATTAGATGCATCCGCGCTCGAGCCGCGCCGCTGCACAACCCACGTAAAGAAGATAATTGCACAAATAACTGCAATTGCAGGTTTCAAACAGAGATGGCGACAAAGAGGCTAAAGTTACGGACTGCAGCTTTAAATATGAGAAAATTTACTATGTACTGTACTTATAAATCTAAATAATCAATATGGAAGCCCTAAATATTAGAGGATAAAAGTAACAACATAGCCCAAACTATATTTATTTTCAGAAATAATAGCACACTAAAACTTGCACATTGAAATGTTTCTATGCAACTCAATAGCACATTAGGTATTTTTTTATTTTTATTCAAACATATATTTAATTAACAGCTCCTCTCTAGTGTTTAATATACTTTTCCTGAAGTCAATGCAATGTAAAGTAGCATATTGATCACAAGCTCTTTTATTTGCTGTGTTTCCGCGGTTGAAACACTGATTGTGTGATTATATGAGACATGATATATTTCGGTGAGCTGTACTGCACCTTCTAATGTTCATTCATGTTTATGACATGCTATATTTCATGTTTATGTTTCATTGATGTTTGATGCACTCGGCGCTGAACTGAGATGCTGCTGCGAACCGTCACGGCACATTTAAGTGCATCAAAACAGCATTTATTGTTTGAATTTTTAAATCAACATAATTTAAAAGCCTTCCTATCGGGCGTAACAGAGCACAAAGCTCTTTGTGATTATTGGATGGGAGGCACATTACAAATAATGTTTGGTGAAAGGAAAATCATGACCTGCATCACAGTGAGATACTGCTTCAGTAGTGTTTAACCCAGAATATTTAATTAAAGAAATCAAACACTCGTCAGATCCACACGTGATGCCATTAATGACATCAACACAAGCAGTTCATGCCGAGGAGATGAAACGCAACAGAGGAGCTCCGGAGTCGTTTAATGAGTTTGTGTGTGTAGAGCAAAGGAGCAGTGCTCTATCCAAACTACATCAGCTAGTTTCCGTAGGTCGCACATGTGCTGAGGGTGGAGTGTGTGAGAGACAAACATTCACTCTCACTCGTGTGTGTTTGTCTCAAACACCAGCGTTTGCAGGCTTTTATCTGGGCCGTTTTGGACCCACAAACCTTTGGACCCATGCTGGGCGCTGCTGGACTCTGATTGGTCGGGGAGGAAGGAACGGACACGCCCTCTGAAGAGGATACAGCTGACCAATCAGAGCGTCTGTGGGCGGGTCAGGCGTGTGTCAGGATCTGTGAGAGCTGAGAGTAATGCAGGAGGGGTTCGTCACTTTCACATGCTCCAATTCTGCAGTTGACCAAGCATAAACACATTTAAAGTCCTTTTTAGGGTTGCAAAAAGGTGGAAAATTTCCAGTAAATTTTGGAAACTTTCCAGGATTTTTTTGAAATTTCCCGTGATTTTTTTTTTTTTTTTTTTGGGAAAGTTTCCGGAAATTTACCGGAAATTTTCCACCCCTTTGCAACCCTAGTCCTTTTAAAGAAGGTCCGTTCACTCAAAGTTTTAATTGACAATAACAACACTGGCAGGTCTGAAGGGGTAAAAATCTCCAAAACTGTTGGGCAGGATCATGTTCCAGCAATAAAATCTAACAAAAGCCATAAAAGTGCATCTTTAGCTCAAATCAGTTAAAAAAAAACATATAAAAAGACTACAGCTGTTGTGTTGTTTCTACTAACACACATCATGGTTCTGTATGCAACGCCTCGCTGAATACATTTATTTCATACTAAGTATAGTTAAAATCTATAAACATATTAACTGACAGATAACTCGAGACTTTCTGATATAAAAAGTATTGGCATACTACTTGTGCACAATGCCCACATCTTAATGTTAAGTCTAAAATGTGTCAGTTTTGATGAGAATTGTATGATCTTTGAATAAAATTGGTCTTTAAATGCAAAATATTTAAAGTGTGCTTGCAATAGTTCCACTTTAGCTCAATCAGATATACTAAGCATATCTTTAATTGTACTTCAGCACAATTAAAGTGCATTAAGCACAAAATTAGCAGACTTGAAGTATACCAGTTTAGTATACCAAAAGTACAATTGCAGGGCGTTTCATTAAGTGCATAAATATGAAAATGTATTTGTAGTATACTTGGCTTGAAATAAATTGCAAACACTTGGCTTGATGTTTGCAAAGCTGATTAGTAATGATTTGGGACAGTAATAATTGGGGACACAGAAATGAAAGTATTGAGATGCTGTAAATGAGTGTTACTGCTGCTGGATTCTGAAATGTCGCTCGTTAATGTTCCTTGAGGTTGACGAGGAGATCTCAGAGCTATAAATACCAGGCCGTGTCTCTCTCTCTCTCTCTCTCTCCGTTCTTTTCCCGCTGCCATGTAGGGAAGTGATGCTGGAGGAGGAATGCACACTTGCACACAGAACAATATTTCTATTACCATGGCTTGTGCGCATCAAGATTGAGTTCTCATGCGCATTAAAATCATTTCTATTAAACCTGCACTTAAACAGCTGCCTCCGGTATCTGTAATTTACTGTAGCCTATAAATTCATAATACTGATATCACCATCTGTTAGAATTAGATTAGTGTTACTGTACAGCAATAAATATAGATTTTTAATTATGGTATTATATGTGCAGACTTTCTAGGACACACACACGTATTTAGAGAGATTATATGAACAGACTGATTAGCATGAAAATTGAGTGTTTACTATTGTCCTTTTGCATTATTGACACACTATTTTCCTATTTTGATACTGTAAAGCTGCTTTGACACAATCTGTATTGTTAAAAGCGCTATATAAATAAAGGTGACTTGACTTGACATTTAGCATGGTCTGTGGTGGACTTTACTAAGTGTCAGGGCAAAAAAAAACTAGCATAAATTTGACAAGAAGTTAATGTTAAGTGATTTAAAATGTAGAGAAAATATTGCTGTATTTCACGAAAGCGGTTCTAAACAAAGTCATGTTGTGCGTCTCCGCACACAGAATGAATTTGAATGCGTATGAACACATTGAATCAGTGATTCACTGACCCATTCATAAAAACAGCTTCTTGCTGTGTTCCTGAATGAATCGGCTTGTTTGAATGAATCGATTGAATGAATGACTCAACCACTAGGCTACTGGTCGTTTTAGTCTCATTTTTAAAAGTATCATTCTATTTTATTCTATCATTTCATGTTTCTGTGTTCTAAATTTTATATAATATCATAATAATATTATTCATACAATTTATAATTACAAATTATAATTAATTATACTTGTCTCTTTAAAAAAATTACGCCTTTTCAGCATAGCCTATTTTATTTGAAGTGCACCCTATGTATTCTGATGCATGCATTAATGTCTCTGGGCATTTGTTATATCATCTCAATATGAGAATATTATTTTTTTATTTTTTTTGTATAATATCTTAAGTGTATAATGGCACAAAGTAAAAAAAGAAAGGCTATTTTCTTTATACAAAAAATGTAATTTCTTTTTTTTTTCCAGAGTGAAATATAATTTCTGCAGGTGTTTTTGTGGGATTCGCATGAATCAGTCGCTGCAGCAACACTGTTTGCATTAACGTGATGTTTAACCATCATCACAGGGTGGTGTTTGTAGCCGATCAGAAACTCGTCTGCTGTGCTGGTTTGTGTGTCGGAGGCCCGTGCGCTGAATTATGCACGAGGCCTCATTAATATTGAACAGCTGCCTGAGTCCGCTCGTCACCAGAAAGAGAGAAATGTAATATCTCTGGCTTTTAGCGGCGTCATCTGTGAGAGGAATGCATTACCGTCTCTCTCTCTCTCCATTCCAGTTGATTTCACTTTTCCTCTGTTCTCGCTCTCATGGCGGTCGCTCTTTTAAGTGAGCTGTTTTTCTTGTCTTGGGCCGACCGGTCGATTAACCCTGCTCTCTCTGTCTGTCTCTGATCTGCAGGGTTCACAGGACACGATGGGAGCTTTGGAGGGCGTCATGGCTCCGTTCTCCTCCTTCCCTCCTCCTCCGCCTCCTCCTCCTCAGAACGGCCTGGCGCTGGAGTTCGGGGCCGGCAGCATTTACTCCGCAGGGGGCCAAACGGAGGCCCTGGCAGGAGCCAGCAGCACCTCCTCCTCTAACCCCAGCGCTCAAGTAAGTGCTAAAGCTCTTCGAGCAGATGGTGACGTCGGAGCGCTCGCGCCGTTTGAGCAGCTGGAACAACAAACGTGTCGAACGACTTCCGGTCGCGGGAATCATCTCAAGACACTGTGATTTGTATCTTCACTCTTTTGTGGAGTCGTAAGACCTGTCTCTAGGGCTGGGCGATTTTTATTTTATTTTATCAATTAATTCGAGTTTAATGTTTTGCCACAATTTAATTTTTTAGAAATCAAGGAATCACGATATATCGACCAAACGTTAGAATTGGACACTATGACAGTGTGCCCATGATAACAGAACGATTAGCCGCTCGCATGTGACGCACTCGTATCGCGAGACACCGTTCACACAGAATGTGCTTTTGTGATGATAAAGACGTGACGCGGCAGTGGCAGAGCAAACACATGCAAGAAGATGGGAGTGAACTTCTTTTAACTTGAGCGCAGTGTTTTTAGAAAGCTGTTTCATAAGAGACGAGCGCAACAGTCAAACATCCATGACTGCATAGAGAAACAATGGAAAAGCAGCGCAATCCAATAAAATAACCTGCAACTGTCTGATATTTCATGTGTGCATCACGGTGACGGGCTTAAAGCTGCTGTTCATTGCTTTTACAGAACATCTGTAGTTAATAATAGTCTACTGGTGTTATACCTTCAGTCATTTTGAAATTTAATTACCTTGACTTTTTTAAAGCATTTTTCTTGTATTATTTCTGAACATATAATATGTGTAAGACAAGTTGTAGTTCATGCATCTTTTCTGCAAAGATATTTAACAATTGATTTGTTGAACATATACTTCATGTGTGCTGCACTTATAGAATTTTCTTTAACTAGAGGGTTAATAAAGAAAAAGCTACTTGAATCAAGTTGTAGTTACATTTTCAAGTTGAAAATGAAATGAAAAATGAAAAAATTGAGAATCAGTCAAACGTTCTGAAAAAATCGAGATTTAAATTTTTTGCCATATGTCCCAGCTCTAGCTCTCTCTCTCTCTCTCTCGTCTCTCAGCTGTCAGACAGATCTACTCAGGCAGAAGATCAGTGTGTTTCTGTCGACGCTGCGGGCAGCAACGAGTCCTCCGAGGCCAAAGGAACCCCGAAACGGCTCCACGTTTCCAACATCCCCTTCCGCTTCAGAGACCCAGACCTGCGGCAGATGTTCGGGGTACTGCAGGCTTCATAGGCCTCAGGGTTTATTCCTCAGATGATTGTAGAAACGGTGATAAACAGTGACGTGTTTAAGGGCCAATTCTGCCCCCTGGTGACCGAGATTGTAACAACACGTTAAAGCGACTGTTGTAAATGCAGCTCTTCTGTAATGATCAGTTTGTAGGCATTACACAAACAGCCGTGGGTTTGTTTATGTTGAGCATTCTCTCTCTTTGTGTGTGTGTGTGTGTGTGTGTGTGTGTGTGTTTTTTTAGCAATTTGGAAAGATTCTGGATGTGGAGATCATCTTCAATGAGAGGGGCTCAAAGGTAAGAAACCGTTTTAAAATCATGCATTTGATGAAATGTTCTTGTTAGACTAAAGTAACAGTTCACCCCCAAAAACATTGATCATGTAATAACTGATTCAGTGTGACCGCAGATGTTTAGCAGATCGCTCTATGTATCGTTTGCGATAATGTCGTAACTGTTGTTTTAACACGATGTGCGATTTGACATTATCGAGTATATCGCACAAGTCAAACAAAACACCGCTACAGAGCACACGCATACATTACGTGATGAAGTCTAGTAGGTTAGTATTCAACGATTTATGTTTAAATTATCAAAACGTTATTTATGCATTTGTAACTGCAGGTTAATTGCATTTGTGTGTAAATCAAACTAAATGCCATTTCAGACGCAGCCTTCGTGTTTCCTCTGCACTGCAAAGATGAATTTCGTTGATACTGATTTCATTTGTTTGGTAACAGCCCAAATGTCTTATTATTCTAATCGACTGATTGAACGTAAGAATTTGACTCAAAAGATGACGCACAGAAAAAATGGCTTTGTAAATGTAAAAATGCCCAAAAAGGTCAAAATCTATTTAAACTTATTGGAAAAGATTGATTTCTATCAGTGTGAACTGACCACCACACAGAATATATTGTGGGATCTTGACAAACTTTCTGGGAGCGTTTTGGGGTGAATTGTTCCTTTAAGCTGGATTTGTTTCGGAGGTCCGACATAGACTTGTGCCGGTATTCGGTAATGTGATATATCACGGTAATGAATATGCACGATATTGTTATCGTGGGCACTTCTAAATACCGTGAATAATTATATAGCGTCTCCACGGGACCACCGTGGAGGGACGGAAGATCGAGGTGAGTCTGTCTTTCTCCTTCTGATGTTCCCATTTCACTCCTTTACTGACCAAACATGTCCTGGAACTGCTTAAGATGCTCAGCTGTGTGTGTTGCATTATGGGAAGTGTGTGTGTGTGTGTGTGAGCTTAGCAATGCATGGTTGCATCTCTACTGCAGTCCACTTTAGATTCTGTGAGTTTTTCTCTGTTTCTCGGCTGTTTTTTGGATTGGTTGTTGTCTGGCTGAGTGTCGGTTATTAACAGCATGCGGTTATTTTCCCTTTTTTAAGTTCATGATCTGATTTGTACTGAGCATGCTCACAGTTAGCCAATCACGTGCGTGCGTTTGATGCTGTTTCTGTTTCTTCTGGTTTGAATGGCTTTTTTGTTTGTAAAACATTTGCTTGGATTCTTACGATACAAGAGGACTGACGATTCGGAATGCTTTCACAACTTTGGTGTTGTACCTTTATTACGGCATTCGTGTGCATTCTCAGTGCTGGTTTCTGGGTGTTTTTATAGTTCTTGAACTCCTGCATGACCTCTGTTTGTCTCTCATAGACGGGGGAAATAGTTCCTTTTCATTTCCTAGTTCCTTTTGTTTTGTTACTAAAGGCTGTAATCCCAAGTGAAGTCACTTTTATTTCTAAATTAATCGGGACGTTTGTTTTAGGACCAAGTGTGTGGATCAGGGGTGTCAAACTCATTTTAGGTCAAAGGCTAAATTGCACGAAACACCGAGTCCTGTGGGCCGAATGTTTTCTGTTTTTAATGACCGTCGTCCAGTGCTGTGTAACTGACCACTCGTGTTAGTAAAGCTGCGCTCGATCGGTCTCTACTAGTGTGATTATGAAAGAACACAGTAGTTCACATCCATCTCTCACATGATAAGTATCTGTTTATTATGGGGATAATATACAGTCAGCTGGCCATTATTATAAAAGCCGCTTCAGTGCCTGATCGTACTGTGCATTATCCCTTAATAAATCATGTCTGCAGTGAAATAAAAGGCATTTATTCCATTCAGACTCCTTTTTAATTTAAGCAGACAACATTTTTAAATATAGTTTTTTGTTAATTGTATGACACTTATTTGTTCCTACCATGAAGATAGCATTAAAAAAATAATAAAAGGATACATTTCCTTTAGATAGCATAAGTGCTAATTAAAAAATATAAATCAAAATTGAGGAGACGATGAATTTTTTAAAAAACCGTATCGATGTATTTGTCATCCAGATTAAATTTCAAACATGCACATTTTAGCTGCATGCAATTACTTGCGCGACACGACACACGCAAGCGTCCATATGTTCTGCTTTATTAGCAGAAGAGGACTAGTTTTTTGAGTCTAGTGTGTCTGATGGAGTTTGGCACCCCTGGTGTAGATGCATGACGCCTGCACCGTTGCTCTGCAGCGCCCCCTGGTGTCCGTGGCTGTTTGTGCATGGGCGCGCAGCGGCGAAGCTTCGTTTGGGTTTGCATGAGTCTGATCGCTTCAGAACATCAGATTCATCAGAAAGCAGGAAAACCGGGTTTAATCTGGGCAGCAGCACTTTATAACCGAATCAGTTTCATTTAGATTCATTTGTTTGCTTTTTGAATGCCATTGTTTTCACTGTCACATTCCTTTGATTTGAATAATTTGAAGAGAAGTTGAATTATTTGCCATGATATTATTATGTTGTATGGATTCTCTCTCCTGTGGTTCTGATGAGCTCTCGTTAGGGCTGGGCGTTATGACCAGAGTCTCGCGTCATGCTATAACCGTATGTATTGTTTATAAAACCGGTTATTTTGTCCTGGAAATTTAATGAGGTGTGTATTTTTTAATAAGCATGTGCCTTTTTTGATGAAGCTGTGAATTTTCCTCTCTTTTCATTTGGAACTTCATGGACACGTACCAAAAGATCAGATGTTTGAACAGATGAATGAAGCAGAAGCCGCTTCACATGATGTGATCAGAACAGGGCCGGTTGCACCAGCTGTGCACAAGTTACAATGTATCCTAGTAGCAACATAAAGTTACAACTTGCACACTGCAAAATATTTTTTATAAAGTGGATAGTTCCGGTGCTTGATTCTGATTGGCTGAGCCGCGTTCGAAGCTGTTGTAAATGACTCTACAAAGTAACATACACCTTTGTTTACGTTTGTCTGTTGCTCGGCAACCACTTTGTTGGAACCACAACTGTTTCTGAGGAACTACATTGTTTGGTGGAAGAATACTGTTTTTATTAATATCATTACACTTTATTTGCTCTGTTTTATTCTGTGAAACCTTACTACGTATATGGAATAACCGTTTTATAAAAGCAGTAATCCCCGTGAAGCCGTGTACACTTTAAGAGAGAGAACATTATGGAGGGAAAAACCGACTTTTTAGTGGCTCTTCAACACAAACCCAATCTAAACTATGCGCCTCCGTGTACATCCTCCATGTTCATGTCAAATCAAATGTATTTATTTATTTATATTTGTATAGCGCTTTTCACAATGCTAATTGTTCCAAAGCAGCATTACAGAAAATCGTTATATGTTAATATCTTTATATCTTCATGCCATTATTCTTGCATTTGCATCAGATTAGAGTTGGGCGATAATGTATTTCACATTTTGCGTTGATATAAACAATCGAGCAGTTGAGATTTGCGATGTAGTATGTCGTAGATTCTTTTTGCATCAGTGTTTTATTGCTCATTGATTTCAAAAAATTTTCTGAATGTCATTTACATATTAAATAGCTATTGTTATTTAATGATTACTTGTCATTTCAGTGGAAACTAACAGGATGAACTGAAATTCACAGCATATTTCAACACCGCTTCTCACTTATGAAGATTGCCGTTGGATTATCGAACATAACATAATTTTGGGACTGTGCTTTTTACACTTTACAGAGAGCCTGCGGCCTACTAGCTACGTTCTGCCTTAAGAACTAAATTTAGCACAGAGTTACTAACTCTCTAGTAGTTACTTAACCTCTACTGTGGACTTTACTTTCCAGTTTTAGTAAGAACTTGAGAACAGCTGGTGCAACCCAACTCTGAACGCCTTCAGCAATGATCCGAACATCAGCGTCTGATCTCACTGATGCTCTTCAAATCCTGCATCCGTGTTCAAGATCTAGTGAAAGCTCTTCCCAGAAGAGTGAAGCTGTTCTAGCAGAAGTGAGGTCAAACGCTGAGACTCTGCTTCAGTTCATCTCAGAGGGGTTTGGGACTGGGTCCACACGGTCCTCTAGATTAGACCCTCATTGTGTGCTTGCATTAAGTCATCATAGAACTTCATCACCATGAGGTCATATAGTGTTAATTGGGCTCTTTTTGCTTTCCGAACAGCATCAAAGTTACATAGCACGATAAGGTTTTCTGTTGGATTTGTTCGGATCCCACCGCAGTACGCTCTCTAGCGATTGGCACACTGCACACGGTCATGGCGCCCGGTCCTAACACGCATCTTTCATGTCATTTGTGATTGTTTTAATCACTCCATCATCATCATCATCATGCTTCCTCCAGTTCAGGCCCAGATATCTGCTGATTATTGCACAGCCTATGAGCCAAAAACGCCCCTGAATACACACACGCACATCGAAATTGTTCCTCAGACGATATTTCTGCCCTTATATTCATGTGAGGATGAGCGACTCTAGCTTGTTTTGGACTGTGTGTGTGTGTGTGTGTGTGTGTGTATGTGTGTGTGTGTGTGACGGTGTTTGCATATTGGTCTTCAGCGTGTGAGAGAACCGTGTTGATGCCTGCCGGTGTTTTCCGTCTTCATGATTTCACTTATTGTGACATGTAGCATATGCATCTCTCTCTCTCTCTCTCTTTCTTTCTCTCTCTCTCTCTCACCCATAAACTCCGTCACTCCTCACAAGGTCTGACAACAACCAATCACAGGCTTCCTTTCATTTGACGCACTTTGGTGTACTTGTTCATGACAAACTGGATGGCTTTTTGAGTTTGACGTTTCTGATTGGGTGGATTGTTCTCTCTCTGTCTGTCTGTCTCTCTTTTCTTCTCCAGTTTTTGTGGTTTCATTGAATGTCGACTGGCTCTATTTTTTCTTTCCTGCATCCCTCTGTTTCTGAACACCCCCCTCCCCCCCTCTTTCTCGGTATGATGTGTTTTTTTCACGAGGGGGCGGGATTAGGCTGCAGAGTATTTGGATTGGTCCATAGGCTGCATCTGATGCTTGCTGATTGGCTGATATTCTCATTTCTGGTTAATGAACTGGAATTGGCTGATTAGCAATGGAATGCCCTGTTTTTCGTTTGCTTTTACGCATTGATTTCTGGGTTTTTGTGTTGAATGTTTGAAAATCAGTGGGAGTTTTTTATGATGCATGAAGCAATATAAGGGAATATCAATGAGTCCACAATTTCTGCTATAGCTGTAAATATACTTAATTTGAATATATCTTAATTTTGAGATTTGGGTGATTTGTGAACTTCAGCACATGTTAATGATGTAATTCTCAGCGATTGAATGATGTTTACTGCAGGTGTTTGGATAAGAACAGCTCTAGATTGAATGCACCAGTGCTTTGTTTTCTGCGTCTCTGATCAGATGCTCGTTCTCTCTCTGATGAACAGGTCAACAACGCTACGGCTCGAGTGATGACCAATAAGAAGATGGTTAGCCCGTATACTAACGGAGAAGGTCTCAGCACGCTGCCCTACGGTAAAACCAGCTCGCCACAGTTTTCAGGTTTTGTTCAGTTGTTAGCGACGAGGCCAGGTGGTTAATCTGAGGCTCTTCTCTCTGTTTGGCTTCAGCGGGGTGGAAGTTGAGTCATATGATGAACGCGATGTACGCACCGGAGCTCTACGCAGGTGAGTCGCAAACAGATTTTCCACTTTCCTGTTAAAGTGCATCATTGCTCTGTAATGGGGAATGTTCTGAGATGATGTGCAGCGTAAACAACACTTTAAAGCCTGTTCACACCAATAACGACAACTATAACGAAACTTTATTTGCGTCCGCACCAGTCAACGGTACGTCTGTTTATTCTAAGTTTGCGCACTGCAATTCAAAGTAACGAGAGACATGTAAACACCAAAGCAAAGAAACGGATGCTTTTGGGCACGGGAGAAATTATTCCTCTGAGTTTCGCTTTTGAAGATAAACGCTATTTTTTTAGTCATTATCAGTTTGTTGGTTTTACACGGCTTTAACCAGCAGATGTCCTCAGTAAGCTACATTTCAATGTAGTGAAATAAAAACATTATATTAAAATTTTATTTTCACCGCAAACGAGGCAAAGCAATGTTGTCGAGACTAGCTCTGGACACTGAAGTAATTTGATGTTTGCTGTGTAGAGCTTCTCCGCTGTTTTAAATGTGCTTAAATGCTAATGAATCCTGACTAGCTGTCCTGTCAGTGTTTTATTTGTCATCAGCTGGAAAAAGTGTTCTGAAAGTAATCCCCACGATGTCGCTCTTCTATATCGTTGTAGTTGTCTACTATTCTCTGCAACCATTTTTAGAACTTTATAGTTACTGCTCTTGGTGTGAACGGGCCTTAAAGAATCAGCTCCCTTTCCTGATAATTTACTCTCCCCCATGTCATCCAAGATGTTCATGTCTTTCTTTCTTCAGTAGAATTTTTTTTTAGGTTTTTGAGGAAAACATTTCAGGATTTCTCTCCATATAGTGGACTTCTATTGTTCCCAATGGGTTCAAATTGCAGTTTCAATGCAACTTTAAAGGGCTCTACACGATCCCAGCCAAGGAATAAGAGTCTTATCTAGTGAAACGATCGGTCATTTTCTTTAAAAAAAATTACAATTTATATGCATTTTAACTGCAAATGCTCATCTTGCACTAGCTCTGCGATTGTGTCACACGTGTGACGTAGGTGGAAGCACCGTCCCAGTGTTTAAGACTAAATCAAACGCCCCCTAAAAAAAATAAATAAAGGTAAAACAACGATGTCGGATGATTTTGAAGTTGGATGAGAAAATCAGATGGAGTTCATTACTACTTCTGCCTACGACCTTTCCAACGTGATTACGTTTACATTTACATTTAGTCATTTAACAGATGCTTTTATCCAAAGCGACTTACAAATGATGACAATAGAAGCAATCAAAACTAACAAAAGCCTAACGCAGTACACGTAGCAAGGTTTTATATATATATATATACACGCATACACACAAAAAGAAAAACAAGTAGATAGAATAGAAAAAAATAGAAAGCTAGTGTTAGTTTTTTTTATAAAAACAGATAAATAGATAAAGTAGAATTAAAATAGAATAGAGAGTGCTAGAGTTAGAGGGTCAAATAAAGATGGAAGAGATGTGTTTTAGTCGTTTCTTGAAGATGGTTAAGGACTCAGCTGCTGGGATTGAGTTGGACAGGTCATTCCACCAGGAGGGAACAGTTAATGAAAAAGTCTATGAAAGTGATTTTGTGCCTCTTTGAGATGGCACAATAATACGCCGTTCACTTGCAGAACGCAAGCTTCTAGAGGCTCATAACTCTGAAGTAATGAATTTAGGTAAATGGGTGCAGACAAAGTGGTGGTTTTGTAGGCAATCATTAATGCCTTGAATTTAATGCGAGCAGCTACTGGTAGCCAGTGCAAATTGATGAACAGATGTGTGATGTGCATTCATTTGGGCTCATTAAAGATTGATCTTGCTGCCGCGTTCTGGATTAATTGTAGAGGTTTGAAAGAAGTGGTTGGATGACCTGCCAAGAGAGCATTGCAATAGTCCAGCCTGGACAGAACAAGAGCTTGAACAAGGAGTTGTGTTGCATGTTCTGAAAGAAAGGGCCTGATCTTCCTAATGTTGTATAAAACGGTCAAATGTCGAATTACGTAATGTGAACACAGCGCTAGTGCAAGACGAGCATTTGCAGTCAAAAAGTATATACATTTAAAAAAAAATTATTGTATGGGTCAAAATTATCCATTTTTCTTTTATGCCAAAAATCATTAGGATATTAAGTAAAGATCATGTTCCATGAAGATATTTTTTAAACTTCTTACCGTAAATATATCAAAACTTTTTTTGATTAGTAATATGCATTGCTAAGAACTTAATTTGGACAACTTTAAAGATGATTTTCTCAATATTTAGATTTTTTTGCACCCTCAGATTCCAGATTTTCAAATAGTTGTATCTCAGCCAAATATTGTCCTATCCTAACAAACCATACATCAATGGAAAGCTTATTTATTCAGCTTATTTATTCAGGTCAAACAATTTCAGTAAATTATCAGGAAATGTTGATTCTGGAAATGAACTGATCCTTTAACGCTTACGAGTGTGATTCCTGAACGATTGTGTGACTGGCTGTAGTTCCAGGGTTTCCGTATCCCACCGCCGCATCCACCGCCGCCGCTGCAGCCGCCAGCCTCAGAGGAGCGCATCACCTGCGGGGTCGAGGCCGGCCCGTCTACGGAGCGGTGCGCGCCGCGGTTCCTCAGCCAACCATACAGGCCTACCCAGGGTAACACACACACACACACACACACACACACACTCACACTCACACTCGCACACACACACACACGCACTCGCACTCACACGCACACACTCGTACACACGCACTCACACACGCACTCGCACTCACACACGCACTCGCACTCACACACACACACTCGCACACACACGCGCACACACACGCACGCACTCACGCACACGTGCACGCACTCACACACGCACTCACACACACACACACACTCGCACTCACACACGCACTCGCACTCACACACGCACTCACACACACACACACACGCGCACACTCACACACACACACACACACACACACACACTCACACACACACGCTCACACGCACAGTCACACACACACGCACTCACGCGCACACACATACGCACTCACACACACACACGCACACTCACACACGCACACACTCACGCACACGCACAAACTCACACACGCGCACACACTCACACACGCAGCAGATTTGAGTTCCTCTGGTGTTCTGCATGCTGCATGACCGTGTGCTGCTTCTGCTGTACTGCTCACAAAATGAGACCAGCTGATGTAAACATGCAATCAAATGACAAAAAAATGCCATTTTTGCCCAACACGTGACCCGTTTATTGGGAAATGCAGTGTCTCACTCAATTGGATCAAAGTGGCATTTTTTCCTGTTTTATGACCAAGTGCACTGCATGTGTGTGAATTAATGTTTTCACTTTCTCTTTTTCGTGGTCTTCATCTGTCCTGCCATCTTCTTTTGTTTTGTTCTTCCCTTCCATCACCACATGGTGGCGACCTGTCCATTTTATTTTTTTCAATCTTATGTTTCTTGCTGCTCCATCTTTCTTTTCTTTTTGCTGTCATTTTGTTTTTCTGTCTCTCAGTGTGGTGTACCAGGATGGGTTTTATGGAGCTACAGAACTGTATGTAAGTATGACACTTCCTGTGTCTTGGTTTCACTTCCTCTCTCTTTCCTTCTCTCCTTCCGAGTGCTCTACCGTGTGAAAACTGTAGCCACGCAGAGCCGTTTCGTTCTGAAGAAGACATGCTTTAAAATCACTGCGCAGACACTAATCCTGTTCATTATGTTAGTGTGATGCAATAGAATCGGATGAATCACTTGATTTGTTTCTCATCAACAGATTCGGACGGCTCTGTGTGCGCAAGTGTGTGTGTGTCTCAGTGTGTGTGTGTGTGTGTGTGTGTGTGTGTGTGTGTGTGTTTGGGGTGCATGCTGTCTGTGTGGTTGTGTGGATGTTCTGCTAATCTTACTGTCTGTCTGTCTGAATATGGCACCAGTAATCGGTTTGATCAGCCCTGGTTGTGTGTTTGGGGGTGACGATGACACTGACGCTAATGCACTCACGATCCCCATTTCTGCTTGTGTCTCCCTCTTTGACAAACAAACCATCGATTCTTAATCATTAGAGAAACCACTCCTCTTTTTCCATGATTGTGCATTGTTTGCCACTGAGGAAGACTCACAGTGCGTAACAGACTTACGTACGGTTCTACGAATGCGGTTTATGTTTGACTGAACATCAGTGGCAGATTGCTTGTTAATGGACTTTAGGTTTGCTTTTCTTGAACGTGTTCATGTACTTTTTTCCCTGCTAACTCACCACTTCACCTGCCTCATTGCATCGGTGCTTGTTTTAAGTGCATCTGTTGTTTTGTCTCTGTAGAGCGGCTATACCGCGTATCGCTACACCCAGCCGACGGCGGTAGCGAGTCCCACAGCAGCGGCGGCAGCAGCATACAGCGACAGGTGAGCGAGAAACGGTCAATGCACGCTCAGCGCAGCGTCTGTTTCCAGCCCTGTTCAACCTCTTTCACGCATGGATGAGTATTTTCAGTCATAACCACATCTTGAACACTGGGGGCAGTCAAAATTGCTTGAAAACTAGATTTGAATTTTGCACTTAAATATTATCAATATTCTAATTATATTCTAATTTAAAATGCATAATTTCAGTTAGGGGTGAAAAAAAGCTTTTGGCTTCTCTCCTGAGGCCACAAGAGGGCGCATCGAGCAAAATATTACTAATGCACGATTATTCAAAGCAAAATAACACGAGTATCAGTGAAAAAAAGTGCATCATGTTTAAAATAATGTTTATAAACCAATTGAAGAGTTCAGATGCAAAAGCCTCAAAGTGAGCATTTTTATCAGGCTCTTATGTGTAGGTTCTGTAATGTCACTTTATGGTCAATGTACTTTTCTATGCAATTAAAGTGAAATAACTGAACATAAATATAGGAGCCTGATAAAATTGCTCACTGTTGAAGAAAATTTCAGATGGCACTTAGAGGCTTTTGCATCTGAACTCTTCAATTATAATTAAGTTGCTTAAACAACTATTAACAAAACCGCATCGTGTATGCATAGTTTAATACAAAGGGCCAAAAGTCAATCACACGGAGTACTTTTTTCATTTAAAAACATGAAATGCAGTGGGATGGGGGAAAAAAACCACCATAAAGTCTCATAAAGATATGGTTTTTTAAAAGTTGAACTTACATTAATTTTACATGGCTTTCTCTCTTGTGCGAGACGCGAGTGCAGCGGTGATAGATGTCCCTCTAGTAAATGTGATAAATATGTGTTCTGTGTGAACGACTAACAAACACATTAAAATAAAAAATGCAGGTAAAAAAACCTGTGGAAAAATCAATACAGAAAAATCCTTCATATTAACATAGTAGATTGTGCCCTATTTTACAGACTTTTCTTAGAGTGTAGCACACTAACCAACTACTAGTACACTGCTTAAAACTATAACTGTTCAGAATGAGTAGTTTTACTAGTTTACTAGCTGATAAAAAAAACTTAAATTGTAATCGTTCAAAAATGTGTAGGTTTTCAAAAATTTAAATGTTTTTAAAAATAGTTATTTACATTTGAATTAGTGCTGTCAAATGATTAATCGCAATTAATCGCATCCAAAATAAAAGTTTTTGTTTCCATATTTATTATGTATATATAAATACACACACATGCATGTATATGTTTAAGAAAAATGTTACGTTTATATATTATTATATAATTTATATGTACACAGTACACACACATATATTATGTAAACAAACTTTTATTTCGGATGTGATTAATAGCGATTAATCGTTTGACAGCACTAATTTTAATATTATATTATGCATTTATATTGTTTTACAAACAAATCTAAATGAACATATATATAAAATATATTTTTTGCCGAGAATTGATGCAGTGACACATTTTTGCGTCGTGATTACGTAATGATGTCATCGCGCTGTGACGTCACAACGTCATTTAGCAACAAATCAACCTTCCTTTAGCAACTTTCTCTGAAAATTAGTTGGGACAGATGGGCATTTCTGCTTCTCTCTGCTGCTAGCGGCCCTGATTCTGAGTTGTAGTCGTTGTTTTCTCTGTGTTTTGCAGCTACGGTCGCATGTACACAGCAGATCCGTATGCGGCTGCGCTAGCGGCTTCTCCGGCGGCGGCGGCGGCGGCAGCAGCGTATGGAGTCGGCGCGATGGTAAGCTTCGTCTCCGTCTCTCCGTCACGCTCTCAGATCCTCAAACGCTTTCTAACCGAACCTCTCTCTCGCAGGCCACTCTCTACAGAGGAGGATACAACCGGTTCTCGCCATATTAATACACTTCCAGATTCGCGGTCTCTTGAAACTTCACCAACGGCTGCTGACCTCGGAGGGAAAAATCCAATCACACTCTTGGACACAAAAATTTTTTTTTTTAAAAAGCGAAGCACGTCTGTTACGAACAAACTTTGAATAAGGAATGCAACTATAAATCAACACATCGAAGAAGATGGATTTTTTTTTTTTTTTTTTTTAAGGAAACATGACAACGTCGAACACCAAATGGTAACAGATCTCTGACTGAGAAGCGCAAATCATTTCTTCCTTTGGCTGGTCTCTCTGCACATATGCAGTTTTCTTTTTGATGTATTACTCTCTCTCCTTCTCTTCCAGGTTTAATCTGCCATTTATTTTAGTCCTGCTTCACACCGCACACGTCAGCAATGTATATTTCTTTTTCTGAGTCCACATTAAAGCAATAATTCATCGCTTTCTTTCCCTTCAGTATATTGGTATTTTGCTTTTTTTGAATTTTGGTTCCAAAGAAAAGTCAAGCACATTCTTGATTTGTGTGTAAACGTATTTGTAATTCTATTATTTGGTTTATTTTGTTTTGTTTTGTTTTGTATGAATAGGTTTTTGATATTGTTTGAAGTGGCTCGTTAATTATTTCAAGATAGCTGGACGTGGAATTGCAGCCTGGTCACGTGACCGGTTTCTTTATCTGTGAAAACACACCTGCATTTCATCATTTGTTTTGTTTTTGCAGGACATCATGTGTTTCAGTAGATTCTAGGTGTAACTGTATCCTGGTCCAGGACTGAAAACATTTAGCCATTTTAGAGTTTGGGAAGTAATTTGGCCTCAGCTTGTTTGAGAGGATGAGGGCCGTGTTTCATTGACACTAAGATACTGGCCTAAAGAAAAACTGACCACAGTCTGAACACTAAACCCAGACAGCTTGATTTTATTCGGTTTTTGTTTAAATGGTACTTGCAGTCTATGCATACACTTTCCACAGTATTATAAGAGATTAAAATGATCTCGGCTCCTAAATTCTGAACTTCTGGCTTTTAAAGATGCGGCAGATCTGCTGGTTTCTCTCCTCCTGTCCTTCGCTGGTTTCTCCTGCAGAGATCTTTGCTCTGAGACGGCTTTCTCGCATGACGCTCGTCTTCTGATGATGGAGTGAGAAGGCTGAAATCCCTCCATTCCTGCAGTAAAGGATTAAAGCTGGCGTCTCTTTTATTCTCCATTCTCGCACCTTATGAATATGATACCTGTTCCACATACTCTCCTTTGGTTTACAGTGTAACCGTGTTTTTGAGTTCAACTCTTTCTCTCTCTACATATTCTGATTCCATTTGTGATGTAATTTGTATCTGAATGTCCATATAAACTGTTTTTTTAAAACACTCACTGGAAGGGTCGTTGATTTCAGTCGATTGTGCATTAATATTGTAGATGGACGTAAAGGAGAAGTTATCAAATAATTTTAGGTGAATATTGTGAAAGATTTCTTCTACCTAATTTGTGGTCTTTCTGAGATGCTCATCTCGATGTAAAGGGATCTTATATGAATGGAAGTGACAGCAGTGAGATCTTTAATATTAAGATTTAACCATGAGCATTATGCGATTATTTACAATTTCACGTTTCTACATTTATGCAAACTAAGCTAATGGTTTATTACCTTCGGTATATTATTTAACATCCTAATTTCCACATCATTACGCTCGTGTTGTTTTATTGAATTTTCATTTAAAATAAATGTGAAGTAAAAGTTTCTCACCTCAAAAATTCGCGCGAGTGTTCTGACAAGCGGTTTCCGCGCATGCGCAAATTCCGGAGGTCGGGCTTTACGTTAAAGGCATAGTTCACCCCAAAATTTTAATTCTGTTCTTGCTGTCTATGGAGGGCCAGAGAGCTCTTGGAATTCATCAAAAATATCTTAATTTGTGTTCCGAAGATGAACGGAGGTCTTACAGGTTTAGAACGACATGAGGGCGAGTAATTAATGACAGAATTTAATTTTTGGGTGAACTATCTCTTTAAATACGTGCACTGAGCTTAAAGAATAAGTGAAAAAGTGGCGCGATAATGCTGCTTTACCAATAGTTCGTGACATGTAGTGAGAAAAATAATAAAACTGTAGGCTACAATTTTAGAAAACTTTCATATGAGCTCCGGCAGATAACGTTATATTATTTAACAACAACCATTCTGAAAAGAATCCAGCACTAAAATTAACCATGGTTTTACTACAAATAAAACCCATTACTAGAGTTAAACCATGGTAACCACGGTTTTGCTACACTAACTATAGTTTAACCATGGTTTTTGTAGTAGCTAAAACTGTGGTTGTACAAATGGTAATCATTGCGCCAAAAAAAACATAGTGTGGCTACTTTTTCTACAATAAAACCATGGTTAATGTTCTGGTAACGTAGTAGTTAAACCATTTAAAAATGTTCTTATTGGAATTTTTGCCTTGATATTCCTAGACTGTATTTTCGAATTAGTGGATATCTATGAAAACCCTTTTCATGGTTGGAGGATTATTTACAGACGTTCCTGGGAGTGTATGAAGTGAAAACTTTGGATGAAGTCATTTTATAATAGACTCAATTTAAACGTTTTAAAAGAGAAAATCCTCATCACACAGATTCATGGGAAAATAACATTTTATTTTTGTGTTCTACTACCAAATCAGTGGTTTTTAATCAACCGTGATGAATGGATTCAGACACAAACGCAATCATATTTACAGTTAAAAAAAATAAAGTTGATTTGTACACAGTTCTGTATTTTGCTACAACATTAGAGACAGTGATGTTGTGGCTCTGAGGTCGATTCCTCCAGGTCTGCGGCTGAGAGAGTCCTTATTCCCTCATTTATTAATTAATAACATCCCATCTTCTGTGTGTTGGGCTGAGAGCATCTGCTGCTGGTTCAGTCTGGTGTGAACGGATGATTCTAGAAACTAGTGATACTCGGTAATGCTGGCTGATCGATGATCTCAGGAGGATGCATGAGGTGCTACACAATCCCAAATTTGGCCAGATCGCTAAGCTCCATGTCGCCGAACGCTTCCCAGGGGCAGATCACAGTGATGTCTGTTAGAAACCAGAGAAAGAAACTTGTCAGGTTCATTAAATAAATACACTGAACTGACCAGAAACTCTGGTGGCCTGTCGTGTACCTGTGCCGAGACCCTCCATTCCAGGGATGTCGTCTCCGAAGCCTTTCTGTCCGGGTTTGGGAGCCTTGCTCTTGAAAGTGCGAGCGGTCCTCTGCTTGAACCTTGGGGGTCCTCTCTTCTCAACAGGTGCTGGGGCGTCCATTCCTGCCACTTACTAAAACATAAACACAACGTTTTTTTTCTTTTGTGTTGAATCTGTGTTACAGATCTTTAATCGTTCCCTCATCTGATCTCCTCAGGCTGTTAAACTTCTCATTTTGGGATTTTGTTAATCCTAATCTGCTGGTTGCACAATGAGTATGTTTATTTACCAACATCTATTTGCCTCGTGATATATATATATATATATACAGACAGTGTGAATAATAAGCTCTTTACATAATCTCGTCGAGCAGATGCCCAGCGATCACATTACACATTCTGCAATCTGGCAGAAAAATGTGTCAGAGCTGCTGTTTTTAGTCAGTTTTTGCCTAAATGTGAAGAACATCTACTGTCCAGTTCAGCTTCGTCTGAAGAAATGCCAGTAAGTCCGTCTGATTCTCGGTTTGAGGCTGTAATTGTAGAGAGTGTGTTTATTTCATGTTTAAATGCATGTGATTTTGATCTGCATCACTAGATCTGTCTGCTCTTTATCAGTCCACTGAACGTCTGTCTGTCTGTCTTGTGTTTTTCTCCTCTTCTCTCTGCTCAGAGTTTCCTTCTCTCAGTAGATCGTGTGTTGTGTAGTAACTAATGAGAATACTGTATAGGCCTGTGTTACCTGACTGTGTTTTGTGCAGGTGTGTCTCCGGTGCGGTCAATCTCTTACCGTGTGCTGGAGTTTCTGGTTCTTCTTCTGTGTCTCGGGTCAGCTCGTGTCCAGTGTGTCTGCCGGACGCTTTTATAGCGCTCCTCTAATCTCCCACAGAAACAGATCCAGGGATCTGGAGAGTATTTTAAGCTCTTCAGGCTTTGTGTGTCGGTGAGGACACGCGTGTGGAAAGAGTCATAGTTTATGAACACGTCTACGTTTATGTCATTACGATGTGTTACACATGAACACACACGCTGTGCTGAAATATGATGGATGTGTGTTCAAATACCACATACAGGCTGTAATTTCATTTAGGTTAATATGTACTTTTATATTCTCAGCGTGATCTTTTTATTTTTGATATTAAATTCTGGTAACACTTTATTATATGGTGTCCTCGTTACACCTTTCATAAACTTACTCTTGTAATAAACAATAATTAACAATAACAATAAATTATGCATGCAATTAACCCTAAACCAAACCCTAATCCTAACCATATAGTAAGTACATGTAGTTCATTAATATTACTCAGTACTTAAATGTATAATTACACTGTAACAAGGACACCTTAAAATAAAGTCTAACCTAAATTCTTTACCAAATAATTATAAATGAACTGTAAATGAATTTATTCTAAATCTAAAAATAAATCAGAATGATGTTTTCTTTGCATTTCGTGTTTATCCAACTATATGTTTATATGATTACCATTCGTTGCTTAACAAATGTGACCCTCTCTGTGAAATACAGGCTAAAGTCTCAAAATCTAATTATGAGATAACTCAGTGTGAAGATGATTCACTGTTCGCATCTGTTTTTAGATTTGAGCACCTTAAAAACCCCGCAGCTGATATTCTGAGAAACACACACCTGATCCCACACATACGGTTATAGCTGAACCTGACTAATTAAAGAGTAATCAGCTCTAATCCACAATCCTGACTGGTCTGCTCATTAACATATCCTGGAATGTTCTCGTGTGTGTGTGTGTTCGTGAGTGTCTGTGTGTGTGTGTGTGTGTGTGAGTGAGGTGTGTGAGTGTGTGTGAGAGTGTCTGTGTGAGTGAGTGTGTGTGTGTGAGTGTCTGTGTGAGTGAGTGTGTGTGTGAGGGTGAGTGAGTGTGTGTGTGAGAGTGAGGTGTGTGAGTGTGTGTGTGCGTATGTGTGTGTGTGTGTGTGTGTGTGTGAGAGTGTCTGTGTGAGTGAGTGTGTGTGTGTGAGTGTCTGTGTGAGTGAGTGTGTGTGTGTGAGTGTCTGTGTGAGTGAGTGTGTGTGTGAGGGTGAGTGAGTGTGTGTGTGAGAGTGAGGGGTGTGTGTGTGTGTGTGTGTATGTGTGTGAGAGAGAGAGAGAGAGAGAGAGATGTGAGTGTCTGTGTGAGTGAGTGTGTGTGTGTGAGTGTCTGTGTGAGTGAGTGTGTGTGTGAGGGTGAGTGAGTGTGTGTGTGTGAGAGTGAGGTGTGTGTGTGCGTGTGTGTGTGTGTGTGAGTGTCTGTGTGAGGGCGTGTGTGTGTGTGTGTTTATTTGGTGCTGTCTTGTTTTAGCAGTGACGTATTCAAACACATCTACATCTGTCTCTGCAACATGTTTCAATAGGATCTATATGCAGAACAGATTTATATGCTAAATGAGAGTTTGTCTTATGCTGCTTTCACATGCAGTCAGGAATTCACATCCCACTTCTGAAGTCAGAATTATGAGTTTGCTGTGTTCAAATGCTTTGTTCACAGAGGATTGCAGCTTCGTTCTTGCCCATTTCTTGGTGAAATCTCATTAAAGCCAAAATGTATTGAAGATATTTGGTCAATTTTGAATAAATGTTGCGTCCCATTCGTCGACCATCCAGATTCTGAAGGTTCAGTCAAAATAAACACTGTTTTTGCGCAATGTACAAGTTGTATGGAAAACAAACAGTGATAGTTCTCTTATTTGCCATGTTTTTAATTTATGGCATGTCCAACTCGTTAGAAATCAAAATTAGTTTCCCGATAGTAAATATGACCTGAGAGCCTGTTCATGTCCAATTTCCTACAATGAATCTCATGATAATTCTGCATCGGAATTTTATCTTCTGAGCTTGGATCTTTGTGACAAATATAGAAATGGACATCACTGCCATTATCATAAACCCACCATGTTGATGTGCTTTCCCAGTTTGATTTCATTCAGAAACCAAAGGTGAAGATGTTGTTGTAACCTCTGACCTTTCCTCTGGGTTAAATGTTGCATAACTCTATGAAAACAGTTGCTTTGATCTCTGAGCTGAGCATTAGCTCTATTTTAAATCCTGCAGTGAGAAGAGACTCTTAATCTATCCTGACGTGAACCGGTTTAACTGTGTGCTAACGCATCGGTACACAGCCTTACTGAGCTGACGGCAGAAGTTATGTGAAGATAAGAAGCATAATTCCTCATCTTTATCATGTTAATGAACGATAGACGACAGAAGTG